CGTCGGAGCTGCTTGACCTCGATCGTATGCATGGAACCCACATTTTCGCAGTTGTGCTTGAAATGCCGACGTTCTGACCCCTATTCAGGGTCCGACCCCTCTTCAGGGTCCCGAAGTACATTTAGTGGCCCGTGCGGGTTAGGGTTAAGGTTTTTCGGTTTAGGGTTTAGAGGTTTACGGTTAGACCCCTGTTCAGGGTCCCAAACTACATGTCATGTCGTGGCCCCTGCACAGGGCCCGTAAAACCCCTCCCTGTTCAGGGTCTGGCTCTTAGTCTTCTGACCCGCTGTACAGGGTCTGATCGTTCGCTGACATCTAGACCCCAATGCAGGGTCCGCTGTTGGATGAAGAAGCAAGCCCCTGTGCAGGGCCCGGCTTGCAACCTCAGTCCGCCGGCCTCTAACTTACCATATATTGTTATCTTATTTAGGCCTTACCTGCTACAGCCAGAAAACAAGTCCTATGGAATATTAGTGTGTGTTCAGTCTGCTCCTGGCACATATATATATATATATATATATATGTATGTATGTATATATGCACAATTTGTATACATGTATACATACGGAATGCTATAAAAGTAGATATATATATATATACATATAAAGAATATACAATAACATGTGTATATATAATGAAATAATATACTATATTATATATAGGTTTTGATGATATCAGCCTAGGTGATTTATGTGGTTTATTTTAAGTTACCATGCAATATTGTTTCAGTGTTGAAGAAGCCCTGTATCTCGGTCCCCAGCTGAGCGGGCGCTGTGGCAGGCCTGTGGCCTATGATGCCAAGGTCTTCATCCCGCAACGACGAAACCTCATGGGCCTGGAAGGGTTTAGCTTTGAGCCGTTATCATATATACACACAGCACGAAACACTGTTGTGCACTGGTACCATAAGTTCGTGCCTACATATTTCAACACAACCCATATCTTGTGTCGATTCCACAATATTCCACATATTGTGCACATGTTCGTGTGTCATGCAAAACTGGTTGCTACACCTTCCAACACAATCTTTCAGGTTCCATGTCTTTTCCATTATTCCCCAAAAGTTGGTTTCTGAATTGTTTAGTTCGATGCTCGACCAAATCCGGTTTTCAACATAGCTTTGCAATCAAATCCAGGCCAAAGTTTTCCGCAGCAGTCGAAACATACCAAATTTTGAACCATCGTTTCGTAATCTTCAACGACCACCACGAAACCCAAATCGAAAACACGTTTCAAATCATACTGTTTCAACAGGACTACCACAGCACCAGTTTTGAAACCCATTTGTAAAAAACGAAGCCGAGATAAAAAAAATCCTTCCATCCACATTTGGTGCGCCGCACATGTTGCGGCAATTCGGGATGGAAAAGCAAGCTACTGCAGTGGGCCACACCCGTATCAATGTTCGTGATGTGCTCACACTCAAGAACGGACTGCAAGCCACGGATATGTTCCGTATACTCGCCGAGCTGCCCAGACACAGCCTGAAGCTGCTTCTGACTGTCAGTAACGTCCGCTTTACACACTTCGGCCTGGCCTTCCAGCTTAGCCAATGCAGCGGCAGTCTAACCAACAGTCCTGGTTCTTCGCTCGAAGTGATGCGTCACGAGCAAATTTGCCAGACTTAGTTCGAGCAGCGATTCCCACCGAGTTTTGCAACGGTGCCTCTTTGCAATAATGCAAAATCGTGCTTGAATCCCACCTTCCAAAAAGCTGAGTGACGTACATTTCAATCCAACTGATTGTAAAGTGCTCCGCTCCAGAGCGTCGGCAAACATGACCTGTGAACAGCTGCTCCCCATGCGGGCCCTCAATGCGCAAGCCCAACAGCTGAGCAGCCGCCACGAGGGATGCTGTCATGCGAGCTTCGCTAACAACTGAACCAGCAGCGTCTGGGAAGTGCGGGTGCAGCGGGCCGACAGACCCACTCTTCGAAAAGCATGCACGACATGAGCGCAACTTCGTGATCGGACACGAGAGCGCCTAAGCCGTCTGGGTTGTGAATGGCGGAGTTCCTGTTCTGTGTTCAGCTCATTCCTTATAAGGCCAGCTTCGGAGGAAGCGGGTACTTCCAAGGAAACCAACACCAGCGGCAAGAAAGCGCAAACAGAGCGAAGTTGATCCACCTACAGTTCCAAGCAGCACTGACTGGTTGCCCGAAGAAGAGGGAAAGCAACCTGCAGCATCATCCCAGCGCGAGGTTGCGGTTCGAGGAACACGGCGAATGAAACCGACGGCGTCGCAGATCTCGAAGACTCTTAGGAGGCAGCATTGGAGGCGAACGACTATCGTCCATTACCATGCCCAAACATACTCACTCACAACGACCCCACTCGTCAAGACATTGAAACGTGACACTGTCAGGACTGGCCATGCTTTCAAAAAAGGCGATTCTACAGGTGATACCGAGGCGTCTGGTAGACATCATGATGTTGGTCAGATATCTAAGTTTTATCTGCGCTACCAGGGATGGTCGTGGACCCAAGTATGCAGAGACCTTGAGACCCTGCCACACAAATATAGTCACAACCTGAAGAACAGCATGAACCAGCTGACAGCGTTGGGCCCACATGAAGGGGGACATCTGGAGACGTGATGTTCCACAACCAGTGTGGACATGTCTTGGAATGCGGCAACAAGAGTGCGACGTTCAGTCCACATGGGATGCATGCAACTCTTCCATTTCATTGGGAACGATGGTCAAGTAGCGCATTCGTGATCAGGGTGCGTTGAAATTTGGTGAAGGAGAAAGCAATCAGCTATATCAGACTTGGGTTCAATTTGGATCCACTACGAGAGCTCATTCCGAACCTTGCCGGTGTCAAGATGCAAAGTGCCAGCAATACCACTCCATCATGAACGCGTGCACGGGCAAGGACCATTGGCAGGTTCCGCGGTGACCTCAGTAGGATTGATTCCGGGCTTTCATTGCTGAGCGATTAAGTCCCGGAATCCAAGAGCCAGCAGGGAAGAGCCGCGCAAGCTGAAGGTGCACAAACTTGACGAGTCAAGGAAGGCATCAAAGGATCTCGCAAAGAGGAGCGGGAGAACTTTACAAGATTACAACACGGCTGATTCATCGAGGATCATTGAGGAGATTTGCTACAACAGTCGCCACATGAGGGCCACCGGCCAATACCAAGCCAGTGGATAGATGTAGAAAAGCACCAACACCAAAACAGGTGAGCCGAGATGAAATGCGTTGTAACAGTCCCACAGCCGATGCGGAGATTCATTGCCTCATTGCAAGCTACGCTGCAGCAAGGCACTTGAAGTTGTACTGTGGTCACATATCTGGTGCAAATGGCCAGTTAATTAGCTCTCCTCGAGCGGGTGCTGTTGATGAGACCGCCGCCGAGGCGGTTTTCGAGGACGCAATGCTGTTGCGCAGATTCCCAGTTTACGGAACGTTCGGCACAGGGTGTGGATTTGAGAAACATTTGTAACGACCAGCAAGTGAACTAGGTGTCCGACAAGCGGTTGATGCTCGAGCTCACGGCTATGCGTCCGCAGTTTTGGGAAGGTGAAGTTGCAACCTGGCAGCTTTGTTCCCCACATGGGGACAAGCTGCGGTGGACGGATCCGGCGACACAACTCGCGGACGGCGGACGCTTTGACTGAGAGCATGAAACCTCATCAACTATTCCGCCTTATGGAATTTGAGTATGCGCACGTAAGGCTATCGGACCCGAACAGGAGGTTGTCCAAGGATGAGCAACAAATGCACATCGGTGAGAGGCTGATTCGCGCATCATTTGTGCAGTGAGAAATCACGGATTTGTGAGCTAGTAGTTAGTTACCGCAAATTGCGGTTTTGTAGAATGCCGGTGTGCAGATCCCTGTTCGAGATTAATCCCACATCCATGTGAAACACAAGAGCCCCAGGCATGCCGTCAATAAGTAAGACGGGTGAGAATACCACGTCAGTTCTTGGTTTGGGCACGTGGTTTTTCGTAAATAGTGTTAGTGACGGTTCTGTGAGGGAGCTTGTATATATGTTACCGTCGCCGCTATCCCGACTGGCCCTTGAGCTAGAGGCACAAAACGTAGCGCCCTAAGCGCCATTGAACGCTGAAACCTGTCCCGTACCTTCTATTTCCCGCGGATTTTTGGGTGACCTCTTCACATCTGATGTAGTCGGTCCGCTAAAGTGTTTGCAGTTCTCATCTTTGCCACAGTTCGTACCGTTCTATCCCAACAAGTGTTGAATGGACAGGTGTCCAAATACCTGTACTCGTGATGGAAAACGGTTTGTGTTGATGCCCCCCTTTGTAGTCTTTATAGTTGCAATGATCCGCCACAGTGCAGACCGTCTAAGCTGGGTATCTGTTGGTCTCTCTTGGTGTATTGAGATCCTTATACTATTTTTATTTTTTTATGCCCTACCGCAACATGTAAGCTTATCTTGCTAGTCTTTTGGGATCCCCGGGACGATTGAATTTCAAGGGGGCAAGATCTAAACTGAATACGCGAGATATGAGCCAGCACATCCGAACAGATTCGACATGTTGCTTTTAGCATGTCCGCCTCACGTAAACCCGTGCCCGCGCCGAGCAGCTGAGGATGCCTGTCCGGATGGGTTGCACGTGGCGCACTAGCCAAAGTACGTACAGTTGCCATAGCATGAGTTGACCCGGGATGGGACATCCGGCAATCAGAACCATGCATTGACTTTTTTGCGACCACATATCTTAGCCGCAATGGTTGGGATTGAGCAGCGAGCGATCAAGATTTGCTGCAGTTTTCATCGCGCTCACGGGGTACCCAGCGTGAGAGTGATTGTGATACTTGACCAAGACTTGGAGGACTGGAGGACGAAAAGCGACGACTGGACGAATCGCGCCGAAGCCGAAAGCATCCACACGATCGCACTACACTACAGCAATTTGTAGCTTCACTTCGAATGTTTTCCGTACGCACCTTGCGTCTTTGCAGCATACACTGCAAGACACGAGTGTCTTCAGAAAGCATCCACGGCGTCGCTGTCACCGCTTTGCCAGGCGGCCGAAGCAATGGCTGCCCGGGGCCCAGCCGGGATCTACGTTGAAACATGTCAGCACTTCAAAAACAGAGCTCGTCCGAAGCTTATGCCTGCAGCATCCAACTGAGGCTGAATGCGATGAAGTAGAGATCTAAATCTAAGGCGGGAAGCTTTGCCAAGTCACCACCAGTTGCTGCTGCGCGTGCACGCATACTGAGAACATTATGTCACAATGCTCAGTTCGCAGACTGCTCAATCCTTTTGTCCAGTCAGCGCTGTCACTGCCACCAGCGTTTCGGAATCACATGTGCAACCGAGACAGTTGCCGCTAACAATTGCAGACGTCTGGTGCAAGTGTCCATGTTGGAAGCTATTCTCCAAAGAGTTGGGCAAACGGCAAGTCTGAATGATCGATGCGCAAGTCGTCCGGGGTTATGACATTAAGAGCAGCACAGCAGGGATCAGTGAGCCGGAATCCCTCCAGTCTCATTCAAATCTTCGGGAGGTGCATCCAGAACCGTCGCCAGAGTCTGCAAGCCATGACTGCTGTGAGGAAGAATGGTGCTCGAATGTAGATTTGACTGCAGCAGCAACATTGTCACAAAGACGCACATGTTGACTGGCTTTCAGGACCCCTCCGCGGCCCTAGTTCACATAATTAGTACAAGGGTGAACCCGCGGAGTGTGGTAGGCACGCACATGCGCTGTCTACACATCTGCACAATTACCGTGATGAACAGTCTTAGATTTTGGCCTTTGGTTTGCGCCGTCCTCTCTTGCGCGAGACCCTCCTTCAGTAAGGATCTTCCCTGCTTGATTTGAATTTGTTGCTGCCGCTGAGTGGATCTGCTGCGTCCCAGCTTGAGAGATTGGCTCGGGCACGGTGTCTTGTGGTGACGTTTCCAGCGAAGAGACGCAAAAGATCAATCACGTCTGAAGTTACAAGCAGCTCCTCTCGTTCCTGGTATGAAGCCAATCACTCGAGGTCCAAGACGTGCACGGGCCATGCTTGCTTTGCGTAGCGTTTCTGTCAGTGGCGAAGATGTTGAGTCACGATGCAGCTACGGGCAGTCTAGGTGCAACTTCCATTGAGAACCTTTGGCATTCCACACCGGAAGTGGAAGCAGGGCAGAGAGGAGAAGTGGGTCAAATATGAGGGATTCTCACGGAAGAAAAGGGGGTTCAAAGACTCTCAGGCACCGGAGGACCCAAGGTTCTGCTCTGTATCTATGTATAAACATTCAGCTTATCCATACGAGTGAAACGAATTGCTTTCGATATCACCCGTACCACTCGCCACAATCAATACCGTCATGGGTCCAACACCACCATCACTATCAATGACAATAACCATCATTGGACTTCGACCTCTTTTCTGGTCTCAGTACCCTTGCCTTCGACACTGTTGGCCAAGCCGCACCGACGGGGTGTTTCTTGTTGCAGGCGGTGCGGGGAGGGTGTTGTTTTGCAGTTGGTGCGGTGTGGGTGGCGGATGTTTGCTGTGTGTGTGCAGGTGTCAGTTGTGTTTGCTATTTGTGTGGAGGGGTGGGTGCCGGGGGAATACACTGCTTTCGAGCAACGACACCTACGAAATTCAATTATTTCCTAGGGAATGTTTGGAATTTTTTGGATAATGCTACAAAATCAAAAAAACCTAGGGGATATGATGATTTCGACTAGCGACACCAGCGAAATCCAAAACTTTCCAAGGGTTTTGTGGGCTTCTACCCAAAAATTACAAAACAAATATTGAAATCCAAAAAATCAAAAACATCGCAAATCCAAAGATTCTGCGAAATTCTTTGGATTTTTGGATTTCCCAGGGTTTGCTAATTCGTTTAGCGAGCCATAACGCAATTCAGCTTAACATCGTGCAGGCTTACTCTTGGGTACACAGTGTTCGTTTATTGCAGCGCAGCTTTGTTTGAAGCTTGCATCGTTATGCTCCGATCCGAACCCCGATTTTGTGACGCAGATTTGGGCGGCCATTTGAGTGTTGTACAAGAACACGTTTACCGGCATTTACAGTGCTTTCTATACGTTTTACATATGGAAGAAAGCCGGCGGTGGATCATGCGGGGGGTGACCATATAAATGATCCCGGTGCGGCCCTCCCGCCCTCCCCCCCCAATGGTTGGTATCCCTTGAAACTCGCTGTTTTTTTGGTTACTTTGTGTGGTGTGGTTCTCCCTCGCCCCCCCACCCCCTGTGGTGCTGTGGTGTGGTTCTGTGGTTCGCTCCCCCCCCTGGTGTGGTGTGGTTGTGCCCGCGGAACGGCCCCTACAGCAGCAGCAAATAGCAGCAACATCAGCGGCGTCTCTCTCTCTCTCGATTCGCAGCGTTCGTCCATGAAACGCCATGCGAGGCTCGATCGGACAGGCCTTTGATAGGGCCCGGCGCCTCGTGGGCGCTGTGCTTTCGCACATCCAAGCTGAATGAACAAAGGTGGCCGCACCGTAGTGCTGCGTCACCAGATCACGACCCGGAGGTCAGCTAACAAACTCACACAAGTGAAAAAAAGTGCACGACTGTCCCCTATGCGCCAAAGAACTGTACAAATCGTCACATGTAAGGGTCTTCAGTAACATGTCCTGTCCAAATCGGGAATCCCATGGCTCGCAACCGGTGTAAGCAGTCATCCGAGAGTCTCCAGCCATCGCGAATGTGATAGGCGATGAGAACACATCGGTTACCCACCCAAGGCATTGTACAATGCGCACGGTGCGCATTGAAAAGCACATAGGGCGGAGTCACATCCAGAGTCCTACCACGCATGCCCTCATGCATGATGTTACCTGAGTCGTCCTCAATCCATAGGGCGCCTCCAAACTCCCAGCGAGTAATCGGGATGACAATGTTGGAGAGCATCGGATGGTTGTGCGAATCTTTGTGTAATCCCGTCTGCAAGTTGGAAGAGAGCGTCACAGTGGAAAAGGGCAACCCGGAGCACCTGGCATTAACTGTAGCCGCGAGCAAGCGTGTGAGGAGAGGATAGGTGCCCACATTGGTCATGGCACCTGCCTCACCACCAAAAACATACGCACCTGTCTGGAAGGCAAACGATGTCACTCCCATGTTGATGCGCTCCCTGGTGCGTTTGGTCTGCGGTAACACCTGAGCAAGCATGTTGAGCAAGATACCAAAGTCTGCGTATGTAACGACTTGTCGCCGAAGGCAATCAAAGGCAAACTGCTCGATGGGATTCGTAGGCTGCTCAACCGTATCCTTCGACATGGGAGCACTCAAAAGAAACGTTTCATGATCCTCGGCCGCCACCTCTCGGCTAGCTGCGTATCTGGGCTCCGCCCCATGCACATACTCAGTCCAGTTTGAAATAACATCAGCTAAGACGGCACTTCCGGTGTAGATGCTCCATACATTCGGTCCCCGATCGGATCAGCATCAGTAGGTGTGGACATGGCGAGCGGCCGGTGAACAGTAAAGGCAGCTGGGTGGCAGGGTAGTGGCATGAGGATTAGGGCAGGGGAAACCGAGGCGAGTTCGTGGTTCTGGCGCTGGCATGCGAATTGCTCCTGCCCCAATGTAGGCGCTTAGCTTAAGCACCTATTTTGGTACGGGAGCAATATGCGCTGGCAAACCGGGACAAAGTCGTGCTGTCCTTCAGCCAAGGGCTGTGTACATTAACATGTCAAAGTGAAGAATCGTAACATAAGCAATGGATCGGGCGGGCAGCTGATGCAAGCGCGCCACAAAATTTGGGCACACTCATCGGCGTGATCCACATGACCCCATGCTCAAGGGCCCTAGTTGACCCGGTGACAAGGGCATCCCGCGACGAATCGCAGCGGATGCCCGGGAACTAGACATCAGGAACGAGGCGGAGCAACCCCAACAGGTAACAGTTACCATATAACCAAGGCTGCCTATTCTTGGGTAATTTACCTGGGGTCGCCCCATCATCTGACAAAAAGATTTGCCGCTCAGAGCACATGGCGCACTGGTAGTGGCCTGCCCGGGGGCTGGCACCCGTGTGTACAACGGCAAATGCGACTCGGTAGTTACACCACTGGACACTGAGGGAGCGTCCACTCTGAAAGATCGGCAGCCGGCATGTGTCACCTTCGCGAATGGGCATAGGGTGCTGAGTTTTGTGAGCACGTCCGCCCTCAAAGCTAAAACGCCTAAGCTGAACGACAACAAGGGTGGTGCAAGCTGTGAGCGCATGTACCGGGGTTTGGGCGTGCCAGGCATAGACAATGTCTTGAAAGGTTCGGCCAACAACCGTCATTGCAATGGGCTGCCACAAGTACGCTTGGTCGCGCACCTCCACCCCTGACTCGCTGGCTCTACGAGCCTCCCAAGTGCCTACCAGCACGTCAGGCTCAGCGCGATGCATTAGGTAGGACCAGAACTCGGACGCATCATTCTGCCTATACAGCTCAGCCCAAGCCCGGAGATGCGGCATCCACGGCAGCAGACCTGGTACACAGAGGGGTTTTCGGGGGGTGCTGGCGTGAAGGGCAATGCAGGCCGAGGTGAGTGCCCCAAAGACGGCACGCTGGTCTGGAAGGACCTGCGCAATCCAGTGCCATGCCACTAAACAAGCATTAAGGTAACACAGGTTATTAGGGTTGGCAAGGCAGAGGTTTAGGGGTCTCCTATAGGCCAGTGCGCCTCTACAAGTCCGCCATATCTGCTCGCATCGAGTCTGGGTCCGAGCTCTTGCCCGCTTCCTTCGGCTTCAGGTCGGCGGCGGCATTCATCTGCGGATTGGCGTGATCCAGAAGATTGGAGGCTGCTTGCGAGAGTAGGTTCGCAAGCGGCTGCCGCTTCATCCTTTCCTGGCGCAAGCGTGCGCCCACCAGGCGAAGGCAGGAGTTGTCGCAGATCTGGATCAGAGACTGATGCAGGCTTTGGGCTTCGGAGCCTCGGTTGGATACCATGATGAGGAAGGGCAGGACCGGCGAGCGGTACTCGCTTGCCATCTTCCGCGTCGCGTGGAACTTGTGCAGGAGCCCGTCTTGGCCTGTACTCGCTTGCCATCTTCCGCGTCGCGTGGAACTTGTGCAGGAGCCCGTCTTGGCCTGCCAGCTCGTTGATCTTGGTGAGGGCGTTCAAGGCTTCCGAGTGCGGCAATGGCGGGCGGCTGTTGTCCACTTCCTGGCGCTCCGTTGTAGGGTTCCAGCGTAGGTAGGCCCAGGACGGAGGGTCCACCGCTGTGATCCATCCGTGCTTGACAAGTGTCGGCCTCATCTCCGGGGTGAGCTCTTGCTCCATCTTCTGCCGCATTGTTACCATGATCGACACGAGGAGGGTAGTCCTGGTCCTGAGGCTTTGCTTGACTTGCGGCGGCACCGCTTCTTTCTTCTCCTTCCATTCTTGGGAGATTTTGAACAGCTGCGCCGTCATCCCCATGCCCTGTGTGTCCATGTACAGGAGGAACGAGCAGTCCGTTCTCAGGGCTGCCTCTGTGTCCTCGTGGCGCAAGGCTAGCGGCTAGTCGCGTCAGAAGCGCAACCACTTCCCTCAGTTCGTCCCCCGAGACTGCCTGGCTCAAGGAGTTCTGGGAGCGGCTCATGCCCCACGAGTCCCACTCCTGCTGTGTCCACTTCTGCTCCTTGCCTTGGCGTCCTCCGCGCCCATCGCCAAAGCCCTTGTGTGACGGGCGCTGCCACTTGGGCGGTCTGTCGGAGTCCAGCGCTTCGCGAGTCTCTCGCGCTTGATTCGGCAGTCCCAGCAGCTGTCCGTACACCTCGGAGATCTCCTTCTCGGTTGAGTCCGTCATGAAGGGTCACCTCGGGGTTTCGAACATCATGCAAGCCTGGAAGTAGGCAGGACAATTGGGTGCATGCAGGGCACTGCTGGCAGGAGTGAACGCGCAAGCTTTGCAGGGCCCCCGGTAGCGGAGGCGATGATGCTTCTTGAGCCGCCTAAAAACGGCGTCGCGAAGGGCCCAGCGTTCAGCATGCATACGACGCATGTGCGTCTTGACACCTCCTCTATCATAGCTGCACCATTGTGTGCAGAAAATGAGGAAACCTTGCAGGCCCGCATGTACAGTACACTCACGCAGTGCGATAGTGCAGGGGTACCGTGTCCGGTTTGCGGGGTCTACTACTCTGATCAGCGCATAATGCGCATACACTGCGCCAAAAGCCATCACATCAGTCTTGTCAGCGCTGACCTACGCCGACCGGAGGCTATAGAGCAGCCATTGATGTAGCTGCACACAGCGTGGATGGAATGCCGGTCTGTAGACACTGCCGTGCTAGATTCCGCAAATGGCGTGGGTTTCAGAATCATATCCTCAGTGTTTGCCCCGTCTTACACTCCCAAAATACGGCTCATAACCAGGTTCCCCCTACCAATCAGTCGGTCGCTGCGCCCGCTGTGCAGTCCGCTGCGGGGCGCAGCGCTCCTACTGCTGAGACCGAAACCAATACGCTCTGCCCATTCTTTCAAGACCCAGAAAGTCAGAAGAACATTGATGCCGACTGGGTTGCGTGTGCCGAAAAATGCGGCGAGCGTTTGCGGATATGCCTCATAAAGAAGTCTGGACCTCTGCTCGAGTACACGATCCCCCGGAAGGGAAAATGCAGTGTAGCAGCCTGTTGTTGGCACGAGTGGTACATGCGACCTATAGGGCATCAGCAATCGGCTCATACTGGAGGCGCTTTTGCAGGTCCGCACTACGCTCACGGAAAAGGTGGCTCGGAGAACACGCAATGGCCCGGATGTGCTTAATCTCGAATTTTTCAAGTGTCCGTAGTCCGGCAGCAGTGATGCCAGTAGACAGTACCCCATGGAGCAATGTACTGCGTACACAGGTGCGATACATCTGCAATCTTTGCTGTATCGTCAGGCCCTTGCGTGAGAAGAGAAGACCTCGAAGCCGCGCTACTGTGGTGCGTGCCGCCTTGAGGCGGAGCTGGACTGTCTGATCTTCATAAAGCCCGAAACTCATGACAGTTCCAAGATACTCAATGCGATCAACTATGGGGATGAGGATGGGTTGGAAGGGGGTACCCAGGTTAAGGTGCCTACGATTCTTAACATAGGTTTCATGCTTCTTCATCCATTGCTGAAATGCAACCCCAGTGGCACGCAAGAGTAAGTGCGACTTGTCAGCGTTGACTTGCATGCCCGCCTCTGCTAGCGCCTGAAAAAGTGACTGAACGCGTTTTGTCATGACCCGGGCATCTTCGACCGTACTGAGATCAAAGGCGCTGGCAAAGTCGTCAGCATATGCAGTGACGTCGTCGGCTATCCAGGCGTTAGCCGACTGGAGCTCGGCGCGATGCAGCATGTATGCGGTTACACATGCCCATAACAGAGGTGATAACACGCATCCCTGTCTTATGCCATTTCTGAGGGCAATGGTGCCCTCATGCTGTTTATGGCGCACATGATACTCTGCGCGGTGCAACGCAAGGATAATGGCTATGGTATCCTCGTCTATACCCACGAATCGGAGCGCGGATGCCATGTACTGATGATCTACCTGGTCGAAAGCCTTCGACATGTCGATGGAAAGTATGGCGGCTCCCGCGGCTATGGGCTTGGGCGCGCCGGCACGCCGATCGTGCACCTCTCGCCTGGAGTTCTGCAGTGTGCGTCTGGCTGTGTCACACCTCTGAGCGACTCTGGCAATCGCAGTTTGGGTGGAACGACCCGGCAAGTATGCGAACTGCGGGACAGCCTCTAGCTTCGGGAGCACAACATCCAGGACTCTATTCTTAATGATGCGGGCTAGGCATTTGCCAGTGGGGCACTGCAACGCAAGGGTCTTAGACTAGAGGGGATTTTAGTAGGCTTGTTGGGTTTGGGCATGAGGCACAGCCAGCCGTCACGCCAATGCATTGGAAAACAGAGCACGCCAGGTTGCAGATGCTGTGAGTACAGGCTGCGCAGGCTGGGGAGCAAGAGCTCTCGAAAAGCTTTCCAGACCTCCGGTGGGACGCATCCCGGCGGGACTGCCTTGCCGGATTTCTGTTTACTAAGGCTGTCAAGGATCTCATCGTCGGTGGCATTGTAGGGCTTCATTATGGTGAGTGTGCTACCATCAACATCGGGGCCCTGTGAGAATATCCGACCAAAGTACTCAACAATAGCCTCGTACTCACCTTGACTGCTAAGTATTTCATTGTCCGGACCACGTATTTGGATACGCTCTTTAGGGGATTTAGGCGCAAGCCGTTTTACACATTGGTAGAGGCGGAACATGTCACCTTTGCGCGCAGCCTGCTCAGCTTCCTGCAAAACTGCATCCACCAAGGCTCTCCTGCGCTCGCGGCCGCGCCGCTCTAGTAACATTTGGCTCTGCTGGAAACGCTGATGCAATCTAAAGGCCTCAAAGACATGACGGAGCTGAAGCATGCGACTAGTACGAACCCGGTTGCGTGCAAGGATACCGTGCTGCTTCATGGTCCGGTAATGTCTCCACATATCCTTGACTTCTAGGCTTGTAGCAGGATCTTGCCAAGGTCTTAGCGGGCGCACTGCTCCCTTAGCCGGAAAGAGCTCTACGCAGCACTCATGCACAGCAGTGGTGAGCTCACTCACCGTGGCTGGTGCCGCCTGTTGCAGTCTTTCGGCAACGCGTAGGCCTAACTGTCCGGCTTCTGGCGTGCCCTGCCTGAGGGCCTCTCGGAGCGAACTCCTGCAGAGGCCAGGCTCTGCGGTCAGTCGCGGCCTGGGAAGGAAGCGCGGGAGCTTAACGTTTGCAGTAAGGGCAAGGTGACGACCTCCATTACGCCAGGCTTTGGGAAGTGTGCGGCTGCGCCTTGCAAAAGAGTCTGCCGAGGCTTGTCCTACCAAGATAAAGTCAATCTGGCTACTTTTATGTGGCGCGCTCCCATCGATATATGTTGGGGCTTGCTTCTGTGCTGCCCAGGTATTCAGTGCGCACAGGCGGTGTGCTGTCAGCATCTGATTGAACTCCTCAACATCAGGAAAACCCACACTGGTTTTGCGCAAAATACCAGGACCTACACATCCCTCAGAGCTTTCGAGCGAACAATTGAAATCCCCAGCGACCACCCTGTAGTGCCTGCTTGGGAAGGATCCAAGGAGCTGGTTCAGCTTCGACCAGATCAGATGGCGCTTCTGCGCGCGCTTTTGGGCCGGGCTCTGGCGCTTGCAACCGATGGGCAGACGAACATGGAGTATACGGCCTGGGACCACCTCCTGCCTCCTGATACTGGATGTCATCACGAGAAACCAGCTTAGAGGACACACACACTGTGACACCAGACCATCGGTGGTGAGGGTCCGGGCTCGAGATAATATGCCAATTCGGTACAGTGTATTCGGTGAGTGCTTTCCCCAATCCATAGTGCACCTCTTGAAAAAGCAGAATGTCGTAGGTTGCCTTATGTTCCTGCATCCATGTCATCAGAATGTCGTAGGTGGTGGTGCACACGCCCCCCAAGTTAATTGAGAAAACCCGTAACCTGGTGCCTGGCGGTGGCTGACACTGCCTAGCCGTCTGCTGTGTTCGGGGCCCAAGCTCCATGGGTGCTCCAAGCTGTTGCAGATGTAGCCGGCGTCCTCGATAGTACGTCGTGCCGTCTTCGGCCTTTTGAGCACGTCTGAGCGCTCTCCGATACGATCTCTTCACAATGTTCTGGCGGCGTCGGGCCGCGAGTGCCTCTCCGCTATGCTTCGCCTCTGCTGTAACAAGAGGAGGCGCTCGTTGGGTGGCTTCAGCGGTCGACGCTGCAACCCTCGCGTCTGGGGCGCTTGTCATCGTCAAGGAATCTAATCTTCCGCGTCGTCGCCCCTATGGGGACTTGGGACCCCAGCGGCCCGCTTTCGGTGCAGTCCTTCGGTTCATCGTCGGATCAGTATGTCCCATGGTAAAAGTGACAACCAGCAGAAGCAGGAGAGCAGCCGCACGAGTAGCAGCAGCAAGGAAGACCATGGGAGCTACGCACAGAGCACCAACGTCCCGAAAAGCAGGGATAGTGATGTGCACCTGGAGCTGCGAAGCTAGGGCCGAGACGCTTCATCAGCGGCGTCATCATCATCAGCATCATCTTCATCATCATCCGTCAACATCTCCTGACGTGCCTTGTGGTGTGGTGTTTCAGGGTTGCGGTCCGCTCGGGGTGCCCCTTCCCCGCTGTGGTGTGCTCCTGTTTCGGTCTGTTTGTGGTGCTGTGGTGTGCTGGCGTAGTTCGCGTATGTATCGTCATCATCATCATCATCATCATATATCATCATCACTATCATCACCATCACCGTCATCATCATCATCATCATCACTACCCCCCTGTACTCCCCGCCCTGTGGCGTGGCGTGGTTCGGGGTTTGGGTCTGCTCGGGGTGCCTGCCCTCCGCCCCTGTGGTGTGGCGTGGTCCGCGTTTGGGTCTGCTTGCGCTGCGGTGTGGTGTAGTTCGGGCCTCTCAGGAACGCGATCCTCGTGACAGTTGCACTTTTAGTACCCTGACATCGGAGTCACGGGTGGAAAGTGTCCGCAGTCACAAGGATGGGGTGTGTCTGGGACGAGATCCTCGTGACACTTGACGGTGTTGAAGCGTCTGGGACGAGATTCTCGTGACAGTTGACGGTGTGGGAGAAGTGTGCACAGTCACGAGGATCCGGGCACCGGGGGGGGGAGGGGGGGAGGGGGGGGGGAGCGGGGTGTGATGGACACTTGCAGGCTATTTGACATGCCCTTGCTTGCAACAGCGTACGACGTTTGCACGAAAGACACGTCAAATAGACGCTGAAATTTTCAGCGGCCGAGCGCATACTGTGCCAGAGTCGGAGCACATGTCCTC